TCCACCTCCCTACGTCTACCTACCTATTTTGTTCATCCCTTCCCAATGTCTAAAGCTTTAATTTAATAAATGATCTAATCGGGTCCTCCTGCTGCATTTGTCTCAGGTTTTTTCCTAATTTGGAATAATCTAATCTAACCCATCCCCCACCCTTCGAGCCCCTGTACTACTATCCGTATACCAGACTAATTCTTTTATACATAATCATATTATTGCCTCTAGGCAATTAAAGAAAAGTGTCAGGAAAAAACTGAAACGATAGAAAATGGAAAGTTTAACATAATTGAGCATTTTCCGATCTGATGTATACAACGTGTTTATTTTCCGATCTGATGTATACAACGTGTTTATTTTCCGATCTGATGTATACAACGTGTTTATTTTCCGATCTGGTATACAGCGTGTTTATTTTATGATCTGATGTATACAACGTGTTTATTTTCTGATTTTGACCCCTAAACAGACCAAAAGGTAAAGAATGATGAATAGTTTCTCTTAAACTCAAATCTGCTGAAATGAAATGAGAGATAAATAAGAAAATAACCTTAATATATTCAATGAAATTACAATATTCTCAATACTGTACTACATTGTACTAAATTGTACTAACTAGGCTTTTAGGGCGCTTCGCGCCCATCTTCTATTTAAATTGTGAAAATGTTCTTTTTGTTTACATTTTAAAACAAAGAAGAAAAAAATTTTGCGGATTTAAAAAAAAATCGCGGATTTTCAAGAATTTAAATTTTTTTACAAAATTAAAAACCTATAAAACACATTTCTTTTAACTTTTATCGTTCATAAACCTTCCCTGTGGTCACGTGATGTCCCACAAAAAATTTGGGTCCGATCGGTTCAGCCGTTTTAACGTTTATTGGATACAAACAAACAAACAGACAGACAAGCCAAATTTGTAGAAAGATTTACTAAATTGTACTAAACTAGCCTAAGAGGGCGCTTCGCGCCCATCTTCTAAATTAATTTTGAACATGTTCTCTTTGTGTACATCGTGAAACAAAACAAAAATAATTCGCGGATTTTCACAAAAAATTTCGTGGATTTTCAAAATTTTCAAAAATTTAATGAAGATCGAATTTTGATGGAGACAAATATTTGAAATGAAGTATCACTGTGTATAAAAAGAGGAAATATGAATCAATATGCTCTAGCTGAAGAAACTTCCCCATAAACTCTGATTTTTTAATTCATATATCTTTGCAACCCAATGTCGCAAACTTTTATAGATAATTTAAACTGTGAATTCTGTTGGATCAAATAATCTAAGTTTGAACTATCAAATGTTTAAACCAATAGGTTACAAAATTAGGAAAATAGGTTAGAAAAGGCAAAAAAGAAGCATATAAAAAATCAAAGTTGATTTCAATAAATTTCTAAATATTAAAATGTAAAAAATAGGAAACTTTAAAACTACATGTTTAACAAAACAACAATATTTATTAACATTATATACATAGTATGATTATTACTAAACATTTTACTTTTGAGCAACATTTGCTTTTTTCAAAAATACATTAATTACATATTTGTTTATATTTATTATCTACAATATCTATTATAGAAACCTGTAGATATATATGTTCTTGCTAAATAAAAATAAAACATTAACTATTTACAAAATTTATATATAAATATATACTAGGTGTGTTGGATCAAGAATGCGAATTATGTTGTAATTTCTTTATTTGTTAAAGAATTTAAGTATTAAAAAGTTTGTTGGAAAGGAATTGTTGTTACTGTTCGATTGCAGCATCTGCTTCGACCAGCTGTTCCAAAAACTCCGGCTTTTACTGGCAACTTAGCAAAGACAAAACAGGGTACCCTGGCTAACCAATGTAAAAGCTAGGCCAGCATTTTTTTTTAAATGCTTATATGTCAGCCATTTCTGAAGATATATTTATAAATAAGCACATTTTAGAAACATTACACATACAGAAAACAGAAAAAATGAAAAAAAAACTATTCCAATAAATAAAGAAATTACACATCATTCGCATTCTTGATAACACACCTCGTACATATTTATACATATATTTTGTAAATAGTAAAGAACAGTATTAAGTTATTATATTTTTCCTTTAAAAAGAAAAAAATCAGTCAGTAAACTGTACACGAATGCAATTTGTTCTGAGAAAAAATGTTTGTCCTTTTTCCTTCCCCACTCTGTATAAAACCTTTTACCTTGTATGTTTTATCTATATCTGTGTTATAGGTATATTTATTTATGCATTAACTATACATTCACATTATTTTGTCTGTTCACTAAATGTACACCACTTAACCCCCCCCCCCCCTCCTCTCCCCAAATATTTCTCAATCACATTTGGAAAACCCAAGAACTAGAAAAGTATTATATAAAAGTAAACTTTTAATGTCAGTAAATTTAAGCATTCCCTAGTTAATAATAATTTTTAAATAAAAGAGAGATTTAGTAAAATTGTTTTGAATAAAATGAAAAAATCTTCTTGTTTTGTCTTTTTTGGATTGTCAATTAACGAGTTGATTTGTTAGATTGAAAATTAGGAATGTCCATTGTCCAAGCTTGTTTTCCAGCTGTTAGGGATTTGTTAACTTTAAGCTCTTCCTTATTTTTATACGAGTGTATTTCAAATCCCTAACGGCGTGAAAAAATGTATTTAAAAATCAGATTTCCTCCTGTTCTTCTGTTCTCCTGTTCTCCTGTTCTTCTGTTCTTCCGTTCTTCTGTTCTCCTGTTTTACTGATGAACGGAAAACTCTAAACTAGGCCACCTTGTGCACCTAAATTCAAATTTTAATCAAATTTATTTTTTCAATAACCCCCACCCCCCACCTCCACTACCCCTTCCACCTACCTATCTAGTTTTGAAGTCCCACGTATTCCCCCGCCTCCCCGGAATCTTAAAATTCCAGAATCTAAAAAAATAGAGTAAATAGAAAGTTAGTCAAGCTTTTCGAAATGGATGTTCTGTCGATATGCTTTTGAATTTTTTAAGTGTGCAGAGTTAAAATTTGGGAAATTTAGAATTATTTTTATTTCGATCTACGTGTATTTGAAACAAAATTGTTGATTTTTACACTTCTGTTTCTTCTTTATTAAATAAAAAACCTCAGATTTAGATTTTAGGTTTGTCTTTATCTAATTGAACACTTTTTTTAATTGCATTTAAATTAATCATTTACAATTCTGAGAAGAAATCATGATCATTGTATTGTTGTCTAAGACCCGCTTTCATCGGAGACCCACACAGTTATCTCATCGGAGGCCTGTAAGGTTTTCATTCGAAGACCCCAAAATGTTTATAGAAAACCACTGCATTTTCATAAAATACTCCCAGATCGTCACTGGTAACCGCCAAATTTTCTGTATAAGGAAGATACTTCGAAAAATGCTTTAACGCCGAATTTCTTCTGGAATTTTCATACTTTTATCCGGAGACCCCTAGATTTTCAACGGAGAGTATGGGGTCCTTAATGAAAACCTTGCAGGTCTCCGATGAGATGAGTGTGTGGATCTCCGATGAAAGCAGTTTTAGACAGCAATACAATGATCATGATTCTATGACTCTATGATATGTACTTTTTAAATGAAATTGGGGATTTTCTCACGTCCAACTTTTAATTAAAATATTTGTGTGACATTTTAAGAACTCTGTGGGGATCTTACTTACAACTTTTTATTTGAATTTGTCTCAATTTGCTGAATTTCATAAAGTTTTATATTATTTCTTCAGCTTGCAGGGTTGCTTTTTTTCTTCCTTATTATCAAGTATCATTATCAAGCAGAAATAAAGGCAGAGGCAATTCAGTGGGGGCGGGCTATTGGGGCTAAGCCCCCCCCCCTGGACCAGTGAAATCTATTGATTTCAGGGGGTTTTCATGTCCCAATTGGTGCTGAGCCCCCCCCCCCCCGGACAAATTTCTGAATACGGCCCTGAATAACTGGACTTTAGGCGTGATTTCAAGCCATCTGACAACCAATTCATAGAAACTTTCCGTGATACAAGATTAATGACGTAAGCTTAAATTTCTATTTGAAAATTTATTATTTTAGTTTTGGTTTCTCCATTTTAGAGAATTGCGGGGTTTTACTGCTCAAACGACGAAGGAAATTATTAGAATTTAACCCATCTCTCACTTAAAAGTACTCTCCATCTACAGTTCCTTTCGGGAAGTTTCAAAAGGGAAGAGATTGGCCTAACCTTTTGCGTGCAGCAGACGACACAGATTACAGGACCAACTCTCCTCCAGTATTCGGTATCCTTCCTTCCACTGTAACAATAATCATGATATTTCTTTATATGTGTGTATGTATGTATGTTACCTAAAGGCATGACACCTATAGAGTTTTAAACAAAAATAAAAAGGTTGCATTTCCCCCATATTGGTAGCTTTGAGAAAGTTGGCATATCCCTCAGATTATTAGTTTCGACACTTATAAAATTATAACAAAATAGTGTTCACATTTATAACTTTAAATGATATAAAAATATGTGTATAATAAGTTATGATGATAATGATAATGATAAGAAGAGAAAAATATCTAATCTAATATTAATGTAATTTAATTTCATTGATCAATGATCATTTACAAAAAATGAGATGAATTTCCCGGAAAAGATTAATCTAAAAAGTTGAAGGATTTAAAAATTTAATTCATTGTTCTATGAAATTTCTCGAATTCAAATCCTATGGAACGAATTGTAAATTATTTAAAAGGTTTGAAATTTAATTATTTTACAAAAGAGACATTATATTGAAGACACATTATTATTCATGCTTTAATATTACAATTCTAAAATAAAACTAACCCTGCACACAAGGTGTCTTATACCGGGTAAAATTTTTAAAAGTTTTAAAGGGAGTGTTCGCGAAAAATGAAAGGGGATATAGGCTTACGGTAAAAAAAGCGCTTTTGATTGCTACTAATCTTACTTCTATCTGTTGCGTCTGTAAGGAAATTGTAAAAAACAACTCATGCTGAAGAACGTAGCGTCCATGCAAATTCAGAAAGTTGCAACATTAAACTTGGATCGTAAAATAATCCATTTAACTCCATACAAATCATTAACGTATGACAACCAATATTTTTCGACGCATTCGTATAAAGTTAATATTTCATAATATTTTTGATTTTTTAGAAATAATATTTCGCTGGCGCTGGATTTTCGAAACTACCTGAAAACGTCGTCTTCATTTCAAAAATCCTCGAAACAGGAATAAATGTTTTCAAAAGTAACTTTCAGATCATAAAAAAATATGAAATATTATGAAATATCAACTATTAACGAATGCGTCGAAAAATTATCGATGACTATTGGTTGTAATATCTGAACTATTTTTTATAAAACTCATATTTTAAGATTCTAATTGTATGAATTCCACTTGCTTTAGTATTTTCTTTTTTAAAATAATTTCCCAGTCAGATAGAAAATTTGGTATTCTCATAAATTGAACGAAAATTATATTTTATAAATTATATATAAACATAATTCGTATTCGTTAGCCCTTTTGCTTAATTACTTTTTTGCCGGCATTTTGCAAACAAATCCGCAAATTTAAAGTTTAAATATAAACCAAAACGCGTAATATTTCAAATATAATAAACCGAATGCCTCTAACTCTAGTTAGACCGGGGTGATTTTCAAATCCCACCATGATTTTGTTTGATTTTGTTCAGGCACGCAGTATGTCTAGCAAAGCTGTTTTGAAAGAAAAACATAAAGTAGAAAAAGATTACCCGACCTTGAATTATAGTCAACCATTCCTTGATTAGTTTTTTATTGTCTTTATAAGGGGGGATAAAAATAACATTATAGAGTCTGGTATATCATTATACAAGAATAATCGTTGGCCAAATGAACCTGAAATATGGATCTCTTTTTAAGAGTTATATATAACTACTTGAAAAGACTGTGTAGACGTAATTTCAAATGACCTTCCATTTATAGCGAGTCAATACCATGTCATAAAACTTTGTCTTGTCAAGAATTAATGAGATATCCATCATTTCTCTTTAAAAAATTGATTGTTTTCAATTGTGATTTCTCTATTATTGTGACATGTATATTTCTTGCTGAAAAAAAAACAATAAAGAAAATTGTCAAAACTAAAATCAACGATTTTTACCTCATAATTGATCAGATATAGATATTTACCCCATTATTAATCAGATATAGATATTTATCTCATAATTAATCAGATATAGATTTTTCCTCATTATTAATCAAATATAGATGTTTTCTTCATTATTTTTTTGATATAAAAATTGTTTACATTTTTCTTTTTCCATGACGGTTTTCTATAAAAAGGATTTTTACAAATATCAAATACTTAAAACCCCCCCCCCCCCCTCCCTCCTACAAGATATGATCAACAATATATCGAGTTATTGAGTAAAGGGGGGGAATCAACTATTTATTACAATGTAGTAAAGTTAATCAAGTTTGATCTACCCCTTTGGAATAATAAACATTTATCGTTTCTTTCTATGCTGTATTTTACATTTAGTAAACCATATTTTCAAACAGGGTTTACAATCGAATTCCGTCGCGCGGAATTCTTCGGAATTGAGAGGAATTGTACGGAAATACGCGGAGTTAAACAGCTCGCAAATCAAAGCAAATATAAAAGGGCAAAAGTAGAAAAGGAAACGTTGCCATCTTTAACAAAATAAAAAATATATTTTCAACTTTTAAACAAAAAAATCTGAATGAGCTTTCCTTTATCCTACAAAGCATTAAAGGGAATATAGTAGTAATTGCATGTGACCTCTCATTTTCGAAGTGGCAGGACCAAGTCACAACAGTACCTTTTAACCATTTGACTGATTAAGGATCTTTATATATCTACAGTGATAACCAGAAAACCCTGGACCAGGAAGACGATTAAAGCAATATTGAAGTGTATTTGATGTTGTTATGAAGCAAATAGCTTTACCAGTAAGTTATTAAATTATTGATTAAGTAAAATGGGTCTGTTTACACTACAAAAATGCTGTGCTGCGTGATCAATTTAAGGTCTTAACTTGAGTCTAAAAGTCAAATTTCTATTTCAGAGTTTTCTGGTTATCACTGTACAGAAACACAATTGGTTGAAATTTAGTTTGACACCTGTTTTATATTTGAAAAATATTTTTATAAGATTCGAGTTAAAAATTCATTGATAGCGATTCATAAAATAATTATTTTCATAAAGTTTATAAGAAAGTTAAAATGATTAATATCTGACATTAATTCACTCTAAGCAAAGCATTAAAAAAATCGTTGAAACAACAGAAAGAGTTAATTATAAGTTTATGAAGTGAATATTTTTATTACAAAAACTAAGACACTTTATCAACTTTTATTTCCCTAATTTTCCTACAGTTTGGCGCAATGCTGAATTTTTCTAGTATTTATTCCTCCCGGGGGGGGAGTCAGAAGGGGGTCAATCCCGACGTAAAAAGGGGGGAAGGAGGTATTTTGATTGTAGATTATGGCTGATGATTTATAATATAGATGTACTGTGAACTCTAATAATTCAAAACACAAAGTCCAGACAAATATAAAATATATGAAGGTTTCAGCAAGTTATAAAGAAAACACAAAGCTAGCAAAATGCATATTTTAATGGAGATTTTATTTTACTCTTTGACTTTTCTGATGTTGTTTGTCATCATTTAGAGTTAACTGTTTTAAAGCGGACTTTCTCAATACTTGATCAATATTGTTGATCACATGGATCCAGTTTGATCTGGATTTTTGTTTTAACTTTTAAGGCCGGGTCGACTTCTTTGTGTCAAAACGCCTTGACCTTTGCGTTTACATCACCAGCCGTTCTTATAAACATACATTCTATAGACATGTACATTTTAGAACAAAAATATACTTGTTTAGTTTAAAAGGATAAATTGGTAAGTTGCTGATTTAGTTTATGAGCTGTTAATAGTGATGGTTTTTCAGTTTTTTTTTAAAAAAGTACAAACTATTGAGAAACCGAACACATCGTTCGCACAAACTATTAAGAAACTGAACACATCGTTCGTACAAACTATTAAGAAACTGAACAAATCGTTCCTGAGAAACCGAGCACGTACATCGGTCGTGCAAACTATTAAGAAACCAAACACATAGTTCGTAGGAACTATTGAAAAAACCGAACCCATCGTTCGTACAAACTATTAAGAAACCGAACACATCGTTCGCACAAACTACTAAGAAACTGAACACATCGTTCGTACAAACTATTAAGAAACTGAACAAATCGTTCCTGAGAAACCGAGCACACATCGGTCGTGCAAACTATTAAGAAACCAAACACATCGTTCGTAGAAACTATTGAAAAAACCGAACCCATCGTTCGTACAAACTATTAAGAAACCGAACACATTGTTCGTATAAACTATTGAGAAACCGAGCACATCGTTTGTACAAACTATTGAGAACCCGAACACATCGTTCGTACAAACTATAAAGAACCCGAACACATCGTTCGTAGGAACTATTGAAAAAACCGAACACATCGTTCGTACAAACTATTGAGAAACCGAACACATAAAGGGGGGAGGGGGAGAGGTGTTGAATATGTAGATGATTCAGAGAATTTCTTGAGTTTAAACTTATTCCTAGAGTTGGCGTGAATTTTGACAAAGTTATCAGTCTCCCAAATTCCCAAACTACATTTTAAACTTCAACAAATTCTAAATATTTCTAAGATAGAAGATATAAGACTTAAGCACAAGGAGAGAAAAAAAATTTTCCTTTTTTCTTTTCAGAAAATAAGTTGTATAAAACGATTGATTTGTTCTCCAGAGATTTTCATCTATGAATCTTTAATAAATCTAAAAAAATATCTAAATTTTTGTACCTTTTTATATATCAGGGACGAAATATACCTTGGGTTATTAGTTGTTGTTGTGTTCAACCAAAAATGACCGTGGAATTGTTCAAAATTTTAAAAAAAGCGAAATTATACTCTCTCTTCATTCGCTAGGTACAGAACGTTCGCTTCTGATTGGTTAAAGTAAGTTACGCTGTCACATAGATCCTTTTTCAATGTGATAGTAGACGGGCTGGTCCGAATAAATGTCTACATAAAACCGGGGGGTCATCTGCTACAATCCTTTGACTCTGTCTTACTTATCGTATATTGTCATGTTTGCATCTAAGAATTTAAACACGAGGTCACAATAGTCGTACCCAAGGAACTATATATATGGAACACCCAACTCAGATATATGCAAATTGTGTACTGTACACTATGGGAGGAATGTAAACAAACCCAGTGCCTTCACAGAAGTTGAAGGGAAAGGACTAAA